GCTGGGCTCACAGCGCGGGGTTTAAGGGGCGTTTGCGGGGTGTCTGCGCGGGGCGCGGCGGAATGCGTGTGTGCAGTCGGGTCGTGGCGGGTACGCGGTCCGTCTGGGAACCCCGGCGTAAAAGCCCAGGTCACCGATAACGCTAAGTCCCACCGAGCAGGGTAAGGCAGAAGTCCTGCCCTTCCCGCTACCCTTGTGACATTGATCCTCTCGCTGGTTTTAGGTCTGGAAAGCAAGGTCTGAGAATGGTGAAGCTGGGGAGTAATTTGAACGACAAGAACAACAAACAACCATCCAACGAAGATGGTTTTCAAACAGTTCCTTTGATCACCCCTTTGGAAGTAAATCACCTGCAGTTCCCGGCTCCGGAAAAGGTAAAACAGAGCCAAACGGTGCTCCTGCATGATTACGCACACACACATGCCCCTTGGTTTTCGCTGTCTCGGTGACTTACTCATCTCTGGTAGTATGGACTGTGGCATAGCGTCTATTCAATAAATAAAAAGGGGTTGTCTTTTGTAGTGTGTTTATCTGTTTTAACATGGCAAATGAGCACGCAGCTGCCCCCCAACTCCTTCTTTCCTCAAAAATGCCCCAAATATTCCTTTATAAATGCAACTGGAAAAGGCGTAGCGTGTTTCTCTTGCAAGTGCTGGAGACATTGAGGAGCAGTTTACAGAGCGTTATTATCAGTAAGATTAATTGCCTCCATCGAGAGTAATGTGATAACTCTTCCGAAATAAGCAGCTATTTTAATTACCTCGGTTAAGGTCTGTTTTCTTCTCCACGGCTTTGCAAAGCTTGTTTGGGCATTGAGAGGATGCTGATTTCTCCGAAGAGAGCGGCTGAGTTCCCCCATGCACGGGGCAGTGATGGAGCAATCCGGGGATTCATTTCCCGGATTGGCTCCAGCCAGGGGACAGCTCTCTCCCCTGCCCACTCAACACAGCACTAAAATGGCCAGAAATGTGCCTCGGCGATTGGCTGTGGCTTGGTGCTTGGGGTTTTTTAGACGCAGCATGTACTAGGAAATCTTTTGTCTATATCGATGCAGTGACGATGCATATCAGTATAACCATGTGAGGACATGATGAGACCGTAAAATCCGTATGCCCCAACAGTCCTTACAAAAACAAAGCCTGTCTGCAATGTAGTTCCCAGATACCACAGAGATGGAGCCAACTCACCCGAAAGGACAGACAGAATGATTAGATCTCACAGGATAATGGAATAATAGTAAAATTAACACTGATGATTATTGAACACATATCCTGGTTTTACGGTAGTACAAAATGATTTTTTCCTGAATACATTAGGAGAACATGATGATGGATGTGATAAAACTGTCTAGATAGACAAACTATGTTTATTTTATGATAGAGCTGAGTCAACTGCCTTGACATCCTGGGAACCAGAGCCGTGCCAGACAAAGGAGCTAGCTTCACCCTCCACGTGCCTCATGGCATCGGGAGCAACTTCACTGCATTCAGGGGAGTTACGCTTCCATGAATTGTTGTGAATGAGAGACTAAACTGGCCCTTATTTATGACTCTGATAAAATAAGATTAAGGAAAATAACTAAGGCAAAGCGGTATGGTTTATCATAAACGTCTGAAAAGTTCAGAGGAAACTACAGATGTGTAAAAATAGCTCATGTGGTGTTGGTACAAATGGCTCATTGAGATCACACCGTGTCACACATTGTGAAATTTAAATGACTCATGTGTCAGGTGAGACATGGATAACCTAACGAAAATCCTTCAAGTTAATAAAGTGGTAATGAGTGTTCTCACGACCACCGCGTTGCAATTGCCTGTTGGTGAACAAACACTGGAGTGAATTGGTCTGGTGTGATTCCTTGCTGATTTTTCTGTTTAAACATGCCTACATCAATAATTCACATGTTGTTAGGTTACATTACCTTCATTAGCATACATTACTGTCAATGCACCTACCGACATCCATA